AATTGTAATTAATAATTTTTTAGATTTAGACTATTCATAGTAAAAAAACTAAGAAAATTAATTAATATAAAAATCTATGCAAAGGTTATCATCTCTATTAATTGGATTTGGGTTAGGAATATTTGGAATGAGCTTATTATATGATCCATGGGCATAAGTAATATACAAAATCAATTTAGGAACGATTTGAAAGAACAGTAAGAGAAACAGCTAGATTAGAAAACTCAATTCTTAATAATGTAGATGTTTATTTATAGATGAGAATGTTTCTTGGATATATTTTAGTGGCTTGCTCTTTTGTAACTATGAATAGGTATATTTAATAATTATAAAAGAATTGGTTTACTTTATGTGCTTTCAATTCCAGCTTTAATAGTTTATGCTGCAATTAATTATAATCATGTGATTTATAAATCAGAAAGACTTGGAGGAGAATAAGCAATTTAAGGAGCCTTATTTTATATTGCCTTTTGTTTTGCTTCAATTGATGGATTAATAAAGCCTAAGAAAATACAATAACCAAAAACAGCATAAAAAAAAGTAGATAAGACAAAAAGCGAATGATTTATCATTAAACCATTTATTTTTAATTGATTAAATAAAGTTGTTTGAATTAAATATGCTAATTCATATAAATTTAATTTTTCTCTCTCTCTTTCTTATAATTTATGCCAGATTGTTATGTTAAAGATAATTATCAAAATTCTTAAATCTTTCAAAATCTTCAAATAATTCTATATACTATCCCCTTTTTTTTCCAAAATCATCTTCATATCCTTATTATTCATAGGGTATTATTTTATTTTGAGGAGATATAAATGAACCTTGAATAACAATATCAAATAAATTTTTAGCTTTAGGTTAAGTTGTTTTTGATCCTCTTCTATTTGAATCCTATTAGATTTAATCTGAACAACTTGATTATTATTTTGGGAATAACAAATTGGAAGTTTCAGAACCTTTCATCAATGAATTAAAATTCATAGTCTTATCACCTTCTAATTTAATTCCTTATTTAATTTCCTAGGATGAAGAACTAAGTTATTTTTTTTTGAAATATTTAACAATTTCCTTAATTTTATCTTACTATAAATAATATTAGTTATATTTACTAATTCTTCATCTTGTAAAGCATCATTACATCCTTAAAAAGATAATGGTCTTTTTGATTCGATTTATTATGTAATTGTTTATTTATAGCCCACTTTAAAAGTACTGCAACTTTCTTCCTCTGAATCATTCTACTCTTCCTCTTCTTCAAATTATAATTTAATATTGATACCAGTCTTATATTATAGTTCTTCAATCAATTTGTTTTTGCATATAAACAATAAAATACTGTTTTTAACATCATGAGATTCTAATAAAGTATCAATTCTCCTATTCAAAGTACGTCTATATCGAGCTCTATCTGATGGAACATTTCTTCTATAATTCAAAAGCACTTTTGATCTATTTGGATATCCACAAACCAATGGGCATTCTCTAATTACATGTGATGTTTTATTGCATGCACGACATGATACATCAACAATAGCTTATGCATTTGAAAAAGCAACTTAATCCCTCATTTAACAAAATGTAGACTTATATAATAAACAATAATACATAATCTTTAGAATTCTATTGTAATAATTCAATAAATTAATTTCTATGAATTTTAAGTAAATAAGTGAATTAAGTAGATTTACAAGATACTTAATAATTCTATTATTAAAAGAACTCCAAAACTCCAAATGGTTAAGAATCTCCAGAATAAGATTCTAATACTTTTTATGATTCTTATTTATTTTTTAAAGTAACATAAAATTACACTTCTCCTTTTTGAAGTATATATAAATAATCACTTACTTCATCTTACTAAAATATAATATATATATATATACATACTTTAAATATTATTTATTCTGGTGCAAATTTTTCTTCAATTAAATTCTTGGACAATTAAATTAAAAAATTATCACTAAAATTTTCAGTCAAAAATTTAATCTTCTTAACAATTTTCATATTGATATCAATCTTCATCTCCTCAAATAATTATACTGGTATTTATTCTGCAAATCTAAAGGCTTCTCTATCATTTTCTTCTTCTGCATCACACCAAACATATTCAAAATACTTTCTTATTTTTTCAGCTAAATGTTTATCTAGTCCCTTTAATCTCATATATTTCTTTAAATCATTCATATTTTATCTAAATTCATATGTCTTTCTACTCCAATCAGCATAAATATTATTTATATTACCAATTGAATATCCAAAAATACCAACAGCAGCAACAGTCATTCCAATAGTAAATATTCTTTCTCTTAAATTTTATGGAGTTATATCACCATATCCAATAGTAGTCATTGTCACTATACTAAAATAAAATGATGTTAAATATTATGCATGCCAAGGTTCATGTTATAAATCATTTTTTATAACCCAAGTATTTTAATCACTTCCAGTAGTACCAACTAAAAACCATAAACATGCACAAAAATGAGCAACTGCCAAAATTGTATAACCTAACTTAACTAAATCGAATATAGCTATTTAACTTGATGTAAGTTCAAGTCTATCAAATAAATTTCCACTAAATTTAGTAATTTAAAAAACTTTTAAAATAAGGACTAAATCTAAATAATCCAATTAAAATCTAAGACTTAAGAAAAAAGGTATGATCACAAAAACATCAAAAAAAAATGCTAAAATAATATTTTAATTATACATGTTCTTAAATAGTTCTTAGCTATTAAATATCTATTTTCTATAACAGTTCCTTTGTGATAATAACATGTATTAAATTTTATTAATATTTCCAATATAAATGAATATGATGGAAGTACATCAAATAAAACCCATCTAAATTATTGAAAACTATCATCTAATGAATTGCTTGTGTCAAATTTAAATGCTACTCTTGCACTTACATATAGTACATTCATATTTAAAATAGTTAATATGTATATATTCCAAGCTATGGCTATAATTGACTCAGGACGCAATATTAATTTATTTTTATTTAAATAATTATAAACCTTTAGTTTTCTAAGAGGGACAAATACTTATTGATTTAATTAGTATTTCATTTTTTCATACGGACTTGGTTTCTTAAATTAATTTACATCAATACTTCATATTTGAAATAATCATTAAATAAATAATATCTAAAATAGGCTGACTTGTCTCCAATGATGTCAAAAACATTTCTATTAATAAGTCTGAAACTTGTAGCAAAGTTAGATTTTGTGATAAAACTAATAAATCTTAAAATTATCATCAAAATCTCTAGAGGGTAATTCTTCCAAGCTTAATTACTAAATCCTTCAATATCTTCTACTGATTATGAATCTAAAATAAAAGGACTCTCATCTTTGTTTTTCTTATTTTTAGGTGGTTTGCCTGTATATTAAGGACCATAATGTGACATTTTAATTTGAGATTAACCTGTATGATTTCTATTAATGTATATTGAATTTTAGTTATATACAAATGTGCATTATCTGAAACTAAATCTGTAGCTCTCAAAGTTCGTAAGGATTCTTTATTAGTTTATAGGGCTTTTTTAATTTTGGCAATAGTTTATTCCTTTTTTCTTGATCCACTATCCAATAAAGGTCTGCCAGATTATCCTTATAAAGTATGATTGCCTATCATAAGGTAAATTGAAAGATGTTACAATTATCTTGTTCAGTTCTAAAATTTTCTGATTGATTTGGCTGCATATTTGAAATAAATTGTATATAAATATAATATCAGTAGGAGCATAATTGTAAGAGGAGTTTTTTGTTAGAATTGAATATATTAGAATAAAAAATAAATGAATAATGGTATTAGAAGTTTAAGAAAATAATCAAACAATGGAGATTTAATTAGATAAAATAATTGTTTGGTTTTAGGTTAAAGCATAGTTTAGAAATGTAGGATATTTAATTGATGATAGACACTCTTAGGTTAAATTGTTAATTCCATTTGATATAATATTGATAAGAATATTATAAGCAGTATTCATTAATATATATTAAGGTTTTTATCAATTTTGGATAATGATCAAAAAAGTATATACAGTACCAACACCAAGGGAATAGAAACCAAAAATACAATAGAAGAGTTAATAAGATGTGATGTGAGTTATTATTGATTATGAGTAGAAAATAAACATAATTTGCTTATATTCCTGATTAATCAACTTAAAAAGAATAATAATCTAAGATGGCTCGCTCATATTTAATGTTTAAGCCTAAGTTAATAGAAGAAATAGATGAAAACAACATGAAAAAGATGAAACTCTCATTTCACAATTCAATTACTGACTTATAAACTTTTGAGGAATTGGCATAAGAATAACAACAGAGAGAATCTACACCTAATTTAAATTAAGCTCCTTAAGAAAAGACTAAGACATTTGTCAGGTAACTAAAATTCTCTACCATTTTAGAAAGTCTATGAGACACTTAACTTAGCTATGAAGCAAAATAAATTTCGTGATAAATTATATATACGACTTATTTAAGTCTTTTATATAGTTAATTTTACATATACCTAATTTTATTATTTTAATTTATCATTCATGAAACAAAATATAATAACTTACTAATTAGCATTTAAGAAAGCATTACAAACAATATCTTAAAACATTTCTAAATCAACAAGCTGTAAATGAAGAGAATAATTGCGAATAAAAGAATTAGATCTTACGATTATTTTATATCAAATAAAAATAATACCCTCATTAACAAAACCAGTTGAAATACTTAGACCTGTATTTAGAAGATATAAAATATAATATAATAGTGTTTTTAGAAGCTTGATAGAAGATTTTCATTAATTAAATTAAAATAGTCAGGATTTATTGAAGCATATCCAAAGAATTTCAGTTGATCATAGTAAAAGAAATCTAAGTTAGAAATAATTATATAAAAATTTGAAGAGATTAAAAACATATCTATTTATATTAATTCTATTTCCAAGGGTCACATATCAATCATAAAATAGAGTTATAAAAGATTCATGAAATGAAACTATTGCATAATCAGTCACATAAAATACTAATAAAAAATTATTAGCAATTAGCTAAATTAATTAGTAATTTTTTACAAAGAACTATTAAATGTGAAAAAGCTATAGGTATTTCTAAAAAATTAAGAGCTAAAAATATTTAGATAAGATTTAGATAAGAATGGTATAATGCTAAAATTGTTGTAGTAAAGGAAGAGAGAAAATAAGTAAAAGAACCTAAAAAGTGAAACATTTAGTATTATTTATTTACAATTTATTTATTAACTTATAAAGGAACATAAAGAGAAATGTCTACTAAAAAATAGGTTTAAGGAGGAAAAACTTCAAGATCTAATAGCAAATAATCAGTCTCTAATCCTATATCTGTAAGAAAACGATTTTCATCATTATGTTCACCGTAAATTATTTGATATAATCATTGCTATAGGTCAAACAATCAAGGACAATCAATATGTGTCTTTTGTTAGAAATTTAAAAATAAAAAGGTTGAATCCTATGCTTCTCTCCTTAATAAGGCTTTATTTGCTAAATATTCTTCATCTCAAAATTACTATTATTCAAAGGATATTAATGATATAATTGATGAAGAATCTACACCAGCAGTTGTATTTTATAGAGATTTGGAATGTATAGTAGAGGAAGAAGAATATTTGAAAAGGTATTAACTATTATATTAAAAGATCTTATGCTAAAAAGGAAACAACTTCTAAAATTAAAGCTTTGTTAGAATACTATAAATATCATAAAGATATACCTAGACTCTTTATGCAAAAGGTCTATATAACAATTAATAAGTTTCACGAAAAGAAACGAAGAATAGAATATGCGAATATCAAAAGGAGATTGAATATTCCAGATGAAGATATAGTAAAGTTAATATCTAAAATTTTAGTAAAAACCAAAAACAAAGGAGAAGAAGAAGAAATAACAACATAGTGATGAAGATGTAACTGTGGGTTAATTGAAACATTTACTAAAGGATTTGAAATTAGATACATATTCCTATCTCTAAAAAAAAGTTGATATCTCAAGTAGTGTATAATTACGTGAATTCGTATAATAAATTGGATAAAAATATGATTATCTCGGATAAATTTCTGGTTTATTGTCTATTGATTAAAGCAATAGTTTTCTCTTAAGATCTTAAGATCTTTCAATGATCAACAAGAATCTTAAATAAAATTATCTCATTAATCATAAACCAAAAACAAATTAAAATTCTAAAGCATAAATTATAGATTCTAAAACTAGCTATTAAGGGAGTCTTGATAAAATTAATATCAATAGATTGTAATTTAACAATCAAGGAGAAATATCTTCTTTAAAAGCTGAAAACTCTATTAAAGCAGGTGAATAAACTAAAAGATCAAATTAGGAATAATCACCTTTAAGGAATACCTCATAATTATAGACTATTTAAAAAGTTTATTCCTAAATAGAAGGATTTGCTAATTTTGTTTAAAAATAATAATAATCATTGTAAAAATAATAAAAACTAAATTATGGCCAAAAGTCAAATTCGTAAAGGAAAGTCAGTGCAAATTTTAATTCAACTGATTGCTAATTCAGAATACCAAGTAGATAAAATTCAACATAAAAGCAATCTGTTGATTTATAATCATATTAAGTAAATTTCTTGTAAATATATATTGAAAATCTATTATTAGAAGAACCAGAGTAGCCTCCCAATTATAAAAATACGATGATGATTATAAGAGTATCAAACATGTACATTTATAATCTTAGGTAAGCAACCATTAGCAACTGATAGAATTCAAAGATAAAGTGTTTATAATGTAGGAGAGAAAATATAACAGAAATATTCATCTAAAAATATGTAGATTTATTATGTAATTTTAGATAAAAAATACCATAAAAATTCACTTAATATGCATTAGCAACACTGAGAAATCTATAGGTAAAGAATTGTGAAGTAAAGAAGAAGTAAATTGTTAATTCTAACAACATGCAAGGATTCACATTAAATTCTTAATTATTACATAATAGAACTAAATCGTAAGATGCAATTGGAAATTATAAAACATCTCCTCCAAAATAACCTTAAAGAAATGACAACTCAAAAGATCCATTAAGAATTACAAACAATATTTGTGTTTAAGCATCATCAAAAAAGGGAGGTGGTGTATATAATATCAACTAAAATAATATAGTTAATATTTATATTGAAGATTTGAAATCTTCTGCAAAAATAAAGTAAGGTGGTTCATAAACTGCTCGAATCAATAGTCCCTTAAAAAATAACCCTAAAGGAGGCATTTTTGATGTTTATAACACTTAAAGATCTAATTTAAGTCCTGCAAGCAAAAAAATGTCTTGAAATAATGTGTTATATATATAAATTCTATGGATTATTAATAATTTTCATAATTATTTAAATGTGCTAAATTTATGAGGATTAAAAGCTGTCGAACATTTAGCCATAGTAACTGATTATCTAGATATCGCATCAGTCATATAGAAGTTCTAAAAGTAGAAATTTAATTTACATCAATAAGATCTTTGAATGGAGTAGCTGAAATAGTTTACTTTGAGGATTCAGGTTTTAATGCAATTTATCCAAGGACACTTGATTCAATATAATCGTATTTTAATAAATGAGGAGCTAATTCAGCCATTCTATATCTAACCTATCACAATTAGAACTGTCATACTTCTTCTAATGTATCATAAGGTAGAGCACATCCACATTCTTCAGATAATGCCCTTAATATTTCCCAATCTGATTTTGCACCTGATGGGGGTAAAGCAACTAATTTTGTGGTTTATACTCTTCCTTCAGTTGAGACCTAATTGAATTTTAAATCTAATTACATAAGTTCCATTCTTTTCTGTATAAGTAGCTCCTGGTAATATAAGATCTGCATAATAAGCACCTTCATCACCATGACTACCAATATAAATTACATAAGCATCTTTAGGAATATCTTAAGCCTTTAAATTGTTATCAACTCCTAACAGAATTACAACCTTAGCAGGAACACTGCTCTTTCTAGCAGTAATACCTAATTCAAGAGCATTAATTCTTCCAACATCTTTATGTAAAAGATTGAAACCATTCCATCCCAATTATGGATTAATCACTGGAGAATTTTAAGCAATCTTTTTTAAAGCATTGTGAATAGCATTTCCATCAACTCTCTCTAAAACACCTGCTCCTGTTAAAATCATAGGTAATTTAGCATTTTTGAGTCTTGCTGCAAATGGATGAGTGCCATTAGCAATTTCATCAAGTATTGAAGCATTATTTCCTAAATGAACATAATTATAAGTTAAGTCATTGGCTGGTCCAATAAGAAATACTTTAAGATTATTTTTTCTTGTAGCTCTTAAAATTCTTGAATTCAATAATGGTGATTCAACCTTTGGGTTAGTACCTACTAATAAAAGAACATCAGCTTCTTCAACACCTGTGATTCTTGAATTTAGTAAATAATTAGTTCTAAAATCTGCATCTAATTATGGTACACCATTTCCTCTAATTTCAAAATTATCACTATCAAATCTATTCAATAAATCTTTTAAGGCTACAATAGATTCACAATCAGCAAATTCTCCAATAACTCCTACAATTTCTTCTCCTTTAACTGATTATAATTTCTTAGCTGCTTATTATATGGCATCTGACCAATACAAATCAGTAAAATTGCCTTATGCATCTCTAACTAATGGTAATGTTAATCTTTATTTTTTTAATCCATCAAAAGCTTATCTTGATTTATCATTTAACCATTCTTCATTGACTTCTTCATGAATTCTAGGTAAAACTCTCATAATCTCAGCTCCTCTAGTGTCAATTTAAATAAGTGGTAAAATAGTATCAAAAACATCAACAGAATCATAAGATTTTAATTCCCAAGGTCTAGATGTAAATGCATATGGTCCATTAGTTAAAGCACCAACTGGACAGATATCAGCTAGATTTCCTTATAATTCACTAGTGATCATTTTGTCAATGTATGTACCAATTTCAGTATTTCTTCCTCTTCCACTGGTTCCTAATTCAGTTACACCAGCATATTCATCAGAAAATCTAATACATCTTGTGCAATGAATGCATCTATTCATACTTGTAGCTACTAAAGGACCAAAATTTTTATCTTCCACAGCTCTTTTATATTCATTATGTCTGCTATCTCCATATCTAATAATAGAATATTAAGAGTGTACCCATATTATTCAGAAATATCTTGTAAATCACATTCTCCTCCTTAATCACAAATTGGACAATCTAAAGGGTGATTAGCTAACATGAATTCCATCACACCTCCTCTTGCTATTCTTGTTTTTTCACTTTTTGTAAGTATTCTCATTCCAGGTGCAACTTAAGCTGCACATGCTGCAACCTTTTATAATATTCATTTAATTTATACAGGTTTTGGTGATTTTTCAACCTCTACCAAACACATTCTGCAATTTCCTGCTACTGCTAATCTTTCATGATAACAAAATCTTGGAATAATTACACCTGCTGAATAACATGCTTAAAATATTGTTGCTGATGGATCAACCTATAATTATATATAAAAAATATTATATATACTTTATGAGGTACATCATCAATGAAAATTTCTATGAGATTCTATTGTGTTGAGAATGCTGATAATTGTTTTCTCAATATTTGTTATCCTTTCTACAATGAGAATCTAATCATTGTTTTTATATATCAAATAATATAATGTATTGCATTTAATTAAAAATTACTCAAACTAATTTAACAATATAATAAAAATTAATATTTTTAATTAATATGTTATAAATTAATGATTTATAAAATAGGTCTGTGAAATTTAAGATTTATAATTGCTAGTATGTCTGAAATTGATTTCTATTATTCCTTTAATATTTAAATATTACAATAAAATAAAAAATAATGTGATTTTTAAGAATACAATAAATATTAATTGTAAATATATGTTCATTTGAAATATTTAATCAAGATTGAAATTTAAATTAAAAAAATATATTAAATGGCTGAAGAGAAAGAGATTGAAATAAAGGAAGAGAAGGAGTAAACCTAAGAACACCACCATGATCATGATCACGATCATGACCACGAACATTCAGATGATGGTCATGATCATGATCATTAAGGAGGAGATGATAAAGACAAGAAGGCTAATAGAGGAGAGAAGAAATTCAAAAAATCTATGCTCAAATTAGGAATGAAGCCAGTAGCTGGAATCACTAGAGTTACAATTAAAAGAGGAAAACAATTCCTTCTCTATATTGATAACCCAGAAGTATTAAAATCAGCAAATGTTGACAATTCTTATATTGTTTTTGGAGAAGCTAAAGTAAATGATCCATAAAGTTAAATTGGAAAGAAGGAAGCTGATAATTTGGCTTAATAAGTGTAATAAATTAATTTCTAATATGTAGTACTAAATAAGTCGAAGAAAAACATGAATAATAATAAGCATAAAATCCAGAATAAATTAGTGATGAAGGTATTCCACCTGAATCAATTAAAATGGTTATGGAACATTGTAAATGTGATAGAAGTAAAGCAGTGGAAGCACTTAGAAAATCTGATAATGACACTGTATAAGCTATTCTCACCTTAACTGGATGATGATTTATTATATTTAAGTAGATAAATATAGTATAAAATTTAATACAAATAAATATTTCATAACAATAAGTTTACTAAGTATAGAAATATGTATTCAATATATATATATATATATTTAATTAATATGGCTACAGTATAACAAAACATCTTCAATAATTAATTTGTAATACAAAAGAAGATATCTTCTGGTTCATTTGGAGTTGTATATCAAGGATTTGATTTAAGAACATCTGATCATGTAGCTATTAAAATAGAAAAACCAGAAATAGATGATTTATTTAGTTTGGATAGAGAAGTAGAGTCAAAAATATTATATATTTAGGTTCAAATATTAAGAATTTTGCATGGAATACCTCAAGTTCCAAAATTAAAATGGGCTGGGAAAGACAAAGGTAATAATGTGATGGTAATTTAATTATTGGGAAGAGATTTAACACACTATTTAAGATAAAGGAAACGTTTTAGTTTGGCATGCGTTTTGGGTATTGCTGATTAGATGCTGACTATTCTTGAAGCTATTCATAGCAAGTATAATTTTAATTCAAGAAAGGGGTATCATTCATAGAGATATAAAGCCTGAAAATATATTGACTGGTAAGGATAGAGAACAGAATATTATTTATCTTGTAGATTATGGTATTGCTAAATAATTTAAAGATAAAGATGACAAACATATGTATATTAACTCATTTAACATAAAAGTCCTTTGAGAGAAAATAAACCTTTTTTGGGAACTTCCAGATATGCAAGTATAGCAGCTCACAGAGGTTAAGAATTATCAAGGAAGGATGATCTAGAATCTTTGGGATACATGTTAATGTATTTGAGATATTCATATAGAGATTTTTATTAAAAGGAAGTTTACCATGGTAGAGTATATGTTATAAAAATGAAGATGAGAAGGTTAAGATGGTAGGATTAATGAAAATGAGAATTACATCTTAAGAATTATGTAAAGATATTCCAACTGAATTTATGAGATTTATTGATTTAGTTAAAAAAATGAGTTATCGCGAAAAACCAGATTATAGGTAAATATTAAATTCAACTTATGATTTAGATATTTTTAATAATTATTTAGAAGAGTATCTATTTAATAATAGATTGAATCTCGATTTGATTGGTATGATGAAAACAATTATGAGAAAAAATCAGGATCTACATCACCCAAGAAATAGCAATCAATTAAAATTTTGGATTAATCCTATTTAATTTAATAAATCTATACACCAAATAAAAAAAAGTTAAGTGAAGAATTTGATGATACTGGATAATCTAAGAGAGACTCTAATGGAAGACAATCTTTAATTAACAATAATTCTAATAATTTACTTTTGTATGATAGTAGAATGAATCTTAAAAATAAAAGTGTTAGTTCATACAATGGATCCAATTTATAATATAGTGATATATAACCTGATCTAAGTTGTCTTATAGCATATTAAAGAAATCTAAGATATGGATCATTTCATAATGAAGTTGAAATTTAAAAATAACCTGATAGAAGTACTTCAGCATAAGATAAAATAAAAGTTAAACATAAATTAAGTTTGGATGTTAAACCAAATCCACACAAATCTATTATTGAATTCTAATTGGGATTAATAAACAATCCTTCAATTATGGATTTTACAGTAAATAGTCAGAATTAAATGAATGAAGATGAAAGTCCATGTCTTGATGACAAATTTAGTATACTAAAAATAAGTTCAATTGATAAGTAATAATCTATTAATAATAATAGTAAATTTAAAAATCCAATACAAATCTTCAGTTTAAACTTGAAAGATAGAAAGGGAATTAAAAATAATTGAATAAACTTTATATTTATTATTTAATGAATCAACCCTCATAGTATGGTTATGCATATCCACCCAAAGTGCTTCTCTTCCATGATCTATTGTAATGAGCAACAGCATCTAACAAGTGAGTTGGTCCCCATACAACAACAGAAATATCCTAATAATATAAAACAGAATAATTACTTTATCCCAGAAGTGTCTTGTAGCAACTCTAGTCAAATGACCAGCATCAAGAGCAGAAATTCTTCTAGCAAATTCACTTCTTGGTACTCTTCTTCCCCAATAGCTATATCTTATTGAAATATATATACAAAACTTATTAAGCAATTTCTCTTGACTATTTAGCAGAACTCTCTTAACTTAATAATTCATTAAAAACTTTGGCTCTAGCTCTGAATACTTCAACTTAACCTACAGATGAAGCATAATCAGATAAAACCATTTGACTAACATAAGCCATTTATGTTGCAAAGACTTCATTACCAATCAAATAATTTCCAAAAAGACCAGTATCTGAATATGCATAATAAACACATCTTTAGTAAGTAACATCAGGTAATCCACCAAGAAGTGAATGCATAGTATTATATTATCTACTTGGAGCATTCAAATGGAATCCTGTGTGTTTATCAGCTCTATAATCACCAATAAGTCTTTAGAAATAATGGAGAGCAAAAACATCAGGGTGATTCCATCCTGGAGTATCGAAGAAAACACCAACATTTAAATTAGTTAATTCATCATCTTTCATTAACTTTATTATTAATAAAATATGAATACCATAATAGATGGAGTAGCATATGGTTTTTCTGAATTTGGTACTTCAGTTGGAACAGATGTACCTAATCCTTTGAATGCCTTATTGACTGCAGATACAAAGTCTTCATGATTAACATTACCAGCAGCAGAGACAACTACATTTGGTGCAACAAAATTAGCCTTATGGAATTATCTTATTTATTCTTCTGTAATATTTGGAATATTATCTCTAATTCCTGCTGCAGGTTAACCCATATAATGATCTCTATAATTTGTGTAATGTGCAGCTTCAGCAACAACTCTGTATTAATCATTGATGCTAACTGATTCTCTATAAATTCCTTCTCTTTCTGCTTCAATTTAAGCTGGTGAATATAAAGAATTTGTCAAAATGTCTCCCAAAAAGATTACTGCTCTTTCAAGTTCTGATGGTAAGAATGTTAATGTGTAAGTCTATAATTCTCTGCCTTATTTAACTTTTAATGATCCTCCTAAATAATCGATTTCTGCTTCAACTTATTCTCTTGATTTTGTTGTTGTTCCCTATAATAAATATTTATTCTTACTCTTAAGTTTAATTTTGAGATGAAATTTGAAACACCTGAGCTTTCTAAAGTTTCAAATCTTGATCCTGCTTTCACAGCTACTGTTATTGAAGCAAGTGGGGAATTGTATTATTCAGACACTACTCTAAGGCCAGTCTCCAATTATGTTAAGGCTAATTTTATTATTATTACACATACTTTATGGTCTGTCATATTTTAAGGCTTCAGGAATTTCACCTGTTGGTAATTCTCCAAAATCCACTAATGCTGACTTAGAGAATTGTAATTAGTAATTTCTTTCAACTTTAGTTTATTAAGTTTATGCAGCAGGGGTTTTCTTTCCTGAGACACTCTCAGCTGTGCAAAATTAAGCCAATTTACGAAGAGAATGAAATCTATTCCTCAAAAACATATCTGAATTAATTTATTTATATTTAAAATTGGATTACTTTTAATACTAAATTAGAAATGCATTTTTTTATATATTTTCTTCTTAGTATATTTGAACTTATGTTAATTATTCTAATTAAATAAAAACAATTAAGATATCGACACTATAACATCTCATTTAAATATTCAATCCAATTTATTATGATAATTGTGATTATTAGTTAGAGTTTTATGAATTTATTTTTTTTATTCATAGATTCATTATTACTCTGATTTTGTGATTTGATCTTCTTTTTCTTTTTAGGAATCTATAATCATTTCAATTTATCTATCAATACTGATTTCTGGAGGAGCTTCTTACATATGTGTTTTAGGTTCTACATCACATAAATAAGTCAATTCAACCTGTTATAATTTTTAAAGAGCTTCTATAATCTATCCATATTCTAATTTATTATTATATATTATTACAATCTTATAGTAGTAAATTAATTTTTTTGTTAGTTGTTTATTTTTACAATATTTTATAGCCAACTGTTTTTAAAAAACCATTATATCCATGGCTACATTTAGATTTAAAACTTGTATTTTTTGGTTACTCAATTAAATTTTTTTTAATTTGATTCAAGATATCTGTTTCTTTTAGAATTCTTTGACAATATTTTTCATCTTAAATTCTTGATTTTATAATTGAAGTCACATATATTTAGAGTTAATTGTTCCATTGATACTTAATGGCCAATTCTATTAAACTTTAATATAATTGTGCTTAAAACATAGACTCAAATAAAAGTGGATTATTTAATCTATAAATATATAGTAAATATATACTTATCACAAACTTCGAGAGCTTAAACAAGACATAAGTTCTTTAGTCCAAAGGTTTGTTAATCTTAAATATTTGAGATAATAAGTGGATTAATTTATTAGATTATCTATATTAAATCAGAAGTCTTCTAGTCTAAATACATGATGATTTGATTACCTTGTAGGGAATTAGCTTAAATAAATAATAGGATTTTAGAGAATACTTTATAAACAGTGAGAATTCCTGTTTTTTTCTAAATTAATTAATACTAAATAATATTACAGCAATTTTAAAAAAGTAATATGGTTTTAATACATTATCGAACAATTCTCTCAAAGGTTCATATAATTTTTGTTAAATTCCTTATTCTAAAAGCAAATCAAATATTTAAGTGATATCTGCTACCATCTATTTGATATATAGATAATATTTATACTGTAATATTTTCACAAAACTTATCCATTTGATGTATCATTTCTTCTAAAAGCTATTTTCTATAATTCTTCTATGCTTATGTTTAATGAATACATAACATTTTTGGTTGATGTATATATTATCATTAATTTTGTAATCTAAAATTAATAGTTTAACCACAATTTCTACAATTTAATAATGGTTGATATGTTAAAGTAAATCACTTATTATATTGTTGTTAACTACGATATGATCCCAAAACTAAAAAAGATGTAGGATTTAGTATTACTTCTCCTCCATATTTACTAGCTACAGGTTTTAATATCTTAGCATAATACCCCATAGATGTATCATTAATATTTGGAGTTTCTAAGAATTTGAAAAATGAATTTAATATATTCAACCTAACATTTTCATTTAGATGCAGTCCTGACTTAGATTTAAATGAAGCGCACTAGACTATGATATTGAAATATACTAACTTGATGTTCCAGATATTCCTCCTCCATTATAATCTTCATCCTCTTTGCATTGATCTTCGTGATGCATTTAATATTCTGGTAAAATATCATCTTCAATAGTAGTCTAATTTAGATTCTTATTAAAACCAGTCTTTCATTGCTTAATAATGAGGATTGGGATTCATTTCGATGTCTTAAGAATAATAAATCAAAAAATCTAGTATTTTCCATTGCAAATATTTCACTTATAATATACGGAAATTTTCGACTTTTCTCATTATCATCCATTTAATCATTTGTGACAATAATATAATGAATCATCTTTTCTAAATTGTCAGGTTATTTCCAAACACTTATGTTAATACTATTTATTACAATTCAGTAAATGCATTCATAGCTCCAGCTTTAATGTCAAATAAGAAATTGTCTCTTTCTAATAATTCTTCCAAAGTTGAGCTATTATTTTTTAAAATGTTTTCCAATTCTTGAGATTAACCAAAGGTTTGAAATTATGAGTACACTCTAAATGATAAATTTAATTTTCATACCCGAAGCTCATATATGTTTATAATTAAATTATCAATATTTTAAGAGAAATATTAAAATTTTATTTAATAATTTTAAAGCAATATTTTCAATCTAATTCTTAATTTCCATTCAATTAATTTTAAGAATCTTAATTATTTAGACTTATCAAATTGTAATTAATTAAAATCTTTTGATTTAATTAAAATTACTCTACTGATTTGATATTGCATTATAATTTCGAATTAATATTGTTATTATGTATAAGAATATTTAAAATCTTTAAATTCTATTCGATAGATTTATTCTATAATATTTAAATAATAGCTATTCCTAATTCTTTTCATTAGTTTTGTAAAAACCTATTTGAAATAAATAATATTTTAAATCAATAAGAAACCAAAAGAATATTACTATTAATATAAGAAATTGAATTAAATCAGATCAATACAAAATCATATATTAAGATAAATTAAAATTTCATAATGAAGAATACTATTAAAAAGGTTAGATTATTAAACACATATTCTTAATTAATTTAAATCTAAACAAAAAAATGGATTTTATTGATTTTTTCATCTATTATATCTATAGGATTATTCATAAATAATATAAAATATTTCAATTATCCTTTTCATTATAATTAATATATATTTATATTTAAGATCAATGATGTCCTCAACCTAATCTTAATTCAATTTTGTTCGCAAACCACTTCCAAAAGCACCAATTACAAGACAATTTAGTAGAGAAAAAAGTTAACCAATTTTTAATCCAATAACTCCATCTGTATGATAAATATTTTATAGTTAAGACTAAGTTTCGTATCCAAAATAATAATCAATTTTTAACTAGAGAGAAAAGTTAAAAAAATAGCAATAATTTCTTTAACAATACTTCTGAAAGCACAAAAATTACAAAAGTATAGAATTAATCTTTGCTTAAAAAATATGATGCTGATTAAAAACAATAAATTTTTGATCGAGAAGATTTAGAGGAGGAACAACAATTTAAATTACTCTGCTAAACTTTGGATCAAATATTATGAGATTTTTTAATCAAAAACAACTGTTTTTTTTTAATTTGCTATTCTTTCTTAATAGTTTTAGTAATTAAATTTATTTTCTTTTGTTTTCTAATGTTCATAACTATACTATTCTTATAAATAATATTATGAACTTTTTATTAACAAATTCAGATTATTTATAAAATAAACTTTATTGTTTTATCTATTTTTTTATGAGAAATCATAACAATTTTTAAAAGTTTTCTAACAAAAAATGAATTTGGAATATTGACCAACTTTTTCTTTTAAGATAAGAAATTTATATTATATAAATTTATATTATAGTTTTAAAGATCATTACCATATTCTTTCATTTGAGATTACTTAAGAAAAATAAAATAAAATTCAATTAAAAATTTAACTCATGATTAATGATTCTCACCAAATGAAATCGCCAATCAATTTAAGAAAAGTAGTGTTCATATTAAATGAAGAACTCTGAGTACGAACCTCAACGTATTCTTGTAGGTGTTACAGGAGGATCTGCAGCAGGAAAAACTACACTTTGTGAAACAATCAAAAGGGAAATCCAATATGATTCTGATGTTGACATGACTATTCTTTCTTGTGATTCCTTTTATAAAGGAATAGACAAGTCTAAAATTGATATTTCATCATATAATTTTGATCATCCAGATTCATTAGATTGGGATAATGCCTTTGAAGTTATTTCTACATTATTGTCAGGAAGACCAGCTTCAGTTCCAATATATTGTTTTGTGACTCATAAAAGATTAGATCAATGTTCAATAGTACTTCCTGCTCAAGTTATAGTTTTTGAGGGTATTATGGCACTTTATGATGAAAGAATAAGAGAATTAATGTCTTATAAAATATTTATACATTGTGATGGTATTTAATAAACATACATAATTTTAGATGATATTCGTTTATGTCGTCGTATTCTAAGAGATGTTAAAGAGAGAGGAAGAACTGTAGAAAATGTACTATTTTAGTATAGTAAATTTGTGAAAAGATCATTTGAGAATTTTATTTCACCTTTAATGAGTCAAGCTGACTTAATTATACCAGGACATAGATAAAATCATGTTTCTGTTGCTTTTATAGTAAACCATTTGAAAAATATGGCCAAACAGAATGGATTACTTAGAGAAAAATTAAATACTTTACTTTATTTTGGCGATTTATTATATTCAATTGATGGATTTATGAGAAATAGAACTAAAGTAGACTTTTCAAATCCAAATGCTACTTTTAAACAATTATTCTTTCCTGAAGAAAATATGAAACCAGATTTTCTATATATTACATAAAACTTTTTAGCTGGTAAATTAGTGAATGATAAATAAATATATAAAGTTGTTAAATCTTGCTTTAAATAAACTTTGTTTATGCTTGAAAAATGTATATAATAAGATAAATATGAAATCGATTAATTTTAATGTGTGCATCTTAATGATATTTTATCAAATAATTTAAAATTAAATGAAAATACTAAATTTATAGTATTGGCTCTACCGTTATTATTTAAAAATGGTTTAGCAAAATTACATTAAATTGAAGATAATATCAAATAATATTAATCAGTATTTATAAAATTTTATTAGGTATAATTAATTGTTGTGAATGTATTTTCTGATATCAAGTCCATTACAGATATTAATTGGACTTTTAAAAAATTAAAAATTTATATAAATGCCTTTTTAGTTGGTAAACTTGATAAATTTGTATAAATAATGAATTTACCAACAAAATCTGAACCAGAATTATTTTATGGACAAGACAAATTGTTTTTGAAATTAAATAGATTTATAACAAAAAGATAAGGAAAGAAGACTTAATGATTATTAATATATATGAAATATTATATCAAATATTTTTAGAATTTAAGCCTTCAAACATGACGTAATACAAAACTAAATTTGAAAAATAGTCAAATCAAAGGATAAATTATACTGCAATTTAATAAAATATAATATTAAAATTAACTCTTATTATTAAATAAATTAATTTTAAATTAATTGGTTATATGAGAAAAATAGTTTTTAAACTAAAATATGAACCATTTCTTTATTATTATTTGATTAAATTTTATGGCTTCTTATTAAAAGCTAATAATTATTAATTTAAAATACTATTTCCTGTTCATAATAAGGGTAAAAAATAAAATACATTTATCTAAAAATATAATCATTAGATATTGTATTTCACCTTAGTACTTAATTCTAATTAAAATATATATATTATGATTACCCTTTGTAAAGCATTGAATAAAGGTCGGATTCTTTAGTTATTTTTGATGATAGATGGCTTAATAGTTCATATGCAGTCATACTTAATACAAGACTATAGCTTATTAGCAATAGGATTGGCCTTAGCAGGCTTTCATTTGATTGTATTTTGTTTAGAATACATTTTTTAAAAGAAATCTAACTTAATCTTGATAATATTGAGTTTGATTAAAGGTGTAGTGATTATAGGAGTAAGCTATTTACTGTTGCCATAATGGTAAATTTATACTGGGATATAAATCGTTTTGATAATTCAATTGAACGAATAGTATTCAAAATTAACATCATTATTTTTCTTTTTAACATGTATTACATGCATTTGCTTTGGAAATGTTTCAGATATCACAGTTGAGATTTTGAGAACAGTATTGAATTTTTTTTTGATTCTTCAAATATATAAGAAGAATGAAAATCAATAATTCATTAATATGAAGAATCTATTCACTTAAATATCATCTGGAGAATTTTGTATATTAGATATGTAATACAATCCAATTTATGAATCTAAATTTTTTTATTCCATTATAAAAGAGCAAGTTATGAGTACATCTGAATAGAATTAAAGTAGAATCTTTACACCCAGAGACTAAACATAAAATTTTGTTAGATAATCTAACTGTTCTGAAAATACTACAACAAGACACTCATTATTGATTAGCGATATAATTGATTAATTAAAAAAGAAAATTCTGAAATTAGATTAAAAATTAATTTTTGAGCCAACAAACAATTCTCATTATTATCTCAGTATTTAAAAACTAAATATAGAAAACTAATAATTTATATTGATTGTTAAACATAAAATAAACAATATTGATTCATCTAAATTATAATAATAATAATCAAAGGATTAAATTTAAACAATGATAAAAACATTACATAAAGTTTCTCATGATATGAGAAATCCTTTAAATGCAATAATTAATATGTAAATGTGCTTAGAAGAATTAATAGATCCATCTTTGTACTAAAAATTCTTAAAACCTTCATTAAATTCTTGTCATTTACTTTTAAATTTAATTAATGATATTTTGGATGCAGCTTAGATTGAAAATAAATCAATAAGAATTGTGTGTCATAAATTTAATTTACCTAAATTAATAGATAAGACAATTTCCTTATTTGATTTATTAAAAGAAAAAAAAGGATTAAATATTACTTTTAATTATGATCCAAAGTTGCCACTTAAAATAAATTCAGATAAACTAAGAATTAGACAAATTATCATGAATTTATTGAGTAATGCTGTTAAATATACATAACCAAAAGGATCTATTTTAATTGAATGTATTTAAAGTGAAGAAAAAAAATAAACCATTATTATTTCTGTTTAAGACTCTGGATTAGGTATCAAACCAGAAAATCTTAAATTACTCTTTCAAGAATTTTCAAGAGTAAATGATTAAGAAAATTAAAAAGTAAATCCTTTTGGAATAGGATTAGGTCTAATGATTAGCAATGAATTAGCAAAATAACTTTCTTCAAATCATTCAATAGGAATTTAGGTTTAGTCACATTATGGTAATGGATCTAAGTTTTATTTTGAAGTATTAAATTAAAATTAAGCTTAAGAAGATATTTCTGATTCATAGATATCTCCATAAATAGCTTAATAAATACCAACATTAGATTTTAGAGTCTTATAAAATATAACATCATAAAAATCACCCTCAGTTTCAATTGCTATTCCCATGTAAGAAAGTAGCAAAAGAATGATTTAAAAAAAAAATCTTAAATCTTTTAATTTTATGACTAGTTCATTAAACTATTAAGTAACTCTGAGATTAAGAAATGAATCAGAAAGAAATCTTTCTAATAAATAATCTATTTAAAGTCGTTTAATATAAAATTTATTATAAAAATGGAATGATTCAACTTAATAACATCCACCTATTTTAATTGTTGATGATAATGAATTTAATATAGTAGCTTTATAATATTTATTAGAATTATGTGGAATGAGTTCAGATTTTGCAATGAATGGAATGATATCTATAGAAAAAGTAAATGAAAGATTAAGAGATAATATTCCCTTTTAATTAATATTTATGGATTTGGAAATGCCATTAATGCTTGGTTTAGAGGCTTCAACTCGTATTCGTAAATTAGATAGAAATGTTACAATTATAGCATGTTCTGGACATAAATTAACATAAGAAATTGTTGAATAATTTAAAGATAGTGGTATAGCATTTGGTGTTGAAAAACCAATTACAAAGATAAAATTAAAAGAATTATTAATAAAATTATCAGATGGAATTAGATGTGATAGTTCATAATTTTCTTAAGTATTTTGATTAAATATTTTATATGAATATTAAGAAATATAGAAATAATAATTATTTTTATATATTTTTATAATAATAATTGAGAAGTATAAAACATGAATAAGTAACTATAAATTAATTATATATTTGTTATTTAAAAAGAATGGTTTTTTCATTTAAAAACAAATAATAATTAGAACCAAAGAAATAAAATAAAATTTTAGAATTGATTTTAACTAAAATATAGATAATTAATTCAAAATTAATGGAAAACTGATTTTTTTATTTTCAACATCTTCCTCCATTTGGAACACATGTTCCATCTCCACAACATATACCATATGAATATGGACAACATCCATATCTACTTCCAACTTTACAACATGGTTGATTTCCTGAACAGTAAGTTTTTGATTGTTCTGGTGGACAATTAGTGTCTGTATATGTTTTTCTTAAAATCTATTTGATTATACTATTAGTAAAAGTATCTTATATATCAAGCTTATTATTAATATATTCCAATGATTTTGATGTTGAAATAAAGAGTGAGAGTATTAAGAAGAGGGATATAAATATTTTATTCATATAATAAATTATTTAATGGTGACGTAAATATTTAATATAAAATTGATGATATAGTCATGACGTAAGCGAAATATTAGTTTTCAGTCATCTCCTAAATAATTTCTTAGTACTTATTATCTTGCTTGTTGATCTCCTTAGATGTATTTCAAGATATTTATGACAAAGACAATCATTTAATCCATCTATTCTTTAAAAAAGATACCACAACTCATCATAACCAAAGCCCAACAAATTAATAAAGCCAAAAAACTATAATACCAAAATCTAGAAATTAAAGGTATATCATCAAATTAATATGCTTATGAAAACACTAATTAAATAATTAAATTATACATATAGTTGAATTCTGTAAATCATAATATGTATAGTAAACTCTTAGAAAAGGTAATCCAAAAACAATATCAAAATTTGGTTTATATTAGTCTATTTTTTTATCATATATGGCAAAATATGTTAAACATTTAAATTCATATGTTTCCACATCATCAAGACATTTTTAGATGTATTATTGAGGATTAAATGTCAAAGTTATCTTTTAAGAATGTTATAAAACAACAAACTCAACAACAGGGAAATTTTAAGGTATAGATATTTATAACTTTGTAGAACAGATTAGAATGGTATTGTTTCTATTTTGTATTGGATAATTAATGAAGTCACAGTCTATGTTATCATTTTTTTGAATATGAAATTTAATGGCTTCTGCTATTTCTTTAGGAATGTAAATAAACTAATAAGTTGAACTAATAAATGAAGTGTAAGGTTTCCTATTACTTGAACTATATATTGTTGTATCATTTTTATAAAGTGATATTTAATTTACTCGAAAACACCATGTTTAATTACATCCTGGAATGGCTTTAAGTTATTAAAATTCTGTTCCATTTTATTTAAAGGATTCTTAATAATTTCCTAAAGTTATAACAGAATCAATAAATCCTTCCTAATTTCCAAAATATAAAGAATAAGATGGATGACTAATCAAATGTTAATGAGTTAGATTCATAATATAATTGAAATTACCCTTTTCTACTGATGGGTATTTGCCTAATCCAATATATCCATCTAACATAGTTGATTATCTAAAATCAATTGCACCATACCCAGTATAATAGAAAAAACTAACATCCAATCCTATATTTTGATTTATCCATAAACTACTATTTAATACATAAAAAATATTGCCCCAACAATCTTCTATTTCTTTAAATTTTGGTTTTATATATGAGATTATTAATTCAATCTAATCATCAGTAGGTATCAATTTTGTAAAATGTAAAGAATTGTTTAACTCTGTTATGAAAATAAATGGTAAATCAATTTCAAGAGCAACTTTATATTTACCCTCTTTCTCTATACCATTAAAGCTGGATATCAAAGATATAGTAGTAAAGTATTGAAATTACTCATCATCATATAAAAAGACATTTGATGGAGATTATAAGCCTTAATTTTTACCTCCTGCTTATTCCTAATTATAAAATGAGGATTCTTAATGTAATTTTTGTGCTGTTGATAATAATAAGCAATTAAATATTAATTATATCATTAATTTTATTGTATTGCTCTTATAATGCAATATTCATATAACATTATCTAACTTTCTTATTTTTTTCTTCTTTAAATTAATGAAAATTTAAATTATAGATTCTGCAGCAAAAATTTACAAAGCCTTTAAAAAATAAGATGCCTCTAAAAGTGTTAGATTTAAATTCTTCACTAATTACATGTTAGTTGAGAATCAAAGACTTAAAATCTTTGATTTCTCAGAAATTGTAATATTCCATGAGGATCATTAAAAATTTATTATCACAAGATTAAATGAGTTTACTCATGAAATGGAAATACATATTGCTGGTTGTAGTGAAATCTAAGCCAGATTAAAATCTAATGATATTATAGATCAAAACTTATTAGAAATTAAAAGCAATATGAAAGAAAGTCTTGAATTATAAAAATTCAAAAAAATAGTATCTGTCAACCTTAAAGATGAACTTTTCATCATAGTGATGACAGATCAATTATTAATATATCGTTTAGAATCATTAGTAGGAACATCTTGTGAAAAAGTCAATCCATTAAAAGAAATTATATTCTACCGTATTCTTGTTTCTTTTAAACCTTATGTTTCAGCCTATACTGAAGATAAAATTTATTTGTTTCAAAAAAATGTTACCTATAAGAGTAAAGCAAATCAACTAATCATCAATTATAAAGTCATTGATTGTAATTAATCAGAAAAGCCTTAGTTAAATTAAAAAATAACACTTTAAAGCCCTTAAGTTGCTTAAGCTACAGAAACTATGCTATCCTATATATAAAAAGTGAAAATTATTGGCAGAACTTAACTTTATTTGAGTATATAGACTGAATTTAAGAATTAAGCTTATAAATAAAAAGTAATTCATGAATTTGGAGAACCATTAATCATAAGAAAATAAAAATAATATTTCAAGTAATCCGATATTAGATATATTGAATGTATCTCGAACAAAAATAATTTGAGCAAACTAAATAAAGCATGAACCAATGAAATAGAATTATCTTATAAACTAGATTTATATTCTATTTTCTATTGTTTTTAAATAAATTACAAAATTTCGATAAAATTATATTCTATTAACTTATTTATGATATATTATAATTAAAATTTATCTACTTATTTCCATCAAAATTAAATGAGAAATACATAAAACTGGTATCTATAATACCAATAGTAATAAAAAATAATTAAAAAAATTACATTTTATACTCTATTTATATTACTAATATTGGATAGTTTTAGATTAAGATTATTACTTAAATATTTGATATAACAAAATATAAGCCATTATATTATAAGCTTAGTTAGTTAGTATAATTATTAAAGATTCATTATTTATTATTATTTTTTATTTATCTTAAAATAATTTCACTAATTTAGTATTTAAATATATTACAAAATCAAGATTATTAAATATTGTTATATAATAAATATATATGATTGATTATTTATTTATATATTTGATATTTACGATATAATAATCATTATACAATCTCATCCTTAAAATGGTGGATAATCAGAATAACCTTCATGATTTCCACCAAAATATTTCTTAGGATCAGAATCTGATAATTTCAAATTATCTTTAAATCTCTCTACTAAATCAGGATCTAATAATTATAATAAAATATTACTTCCGATATATAGAGTTCCAAAACTAGCTGCATCAAATAGTCCTTATTCTATGCCTTATGCAGCTGTTAGAGCTGTCAATCCGACATTTCCAATAATAACACCTTTAAAAGATGGTCTTAATTATTATAATAGATTAGGCACTTATTTTTCAGATGCTGGATGACCATAACCATAGCAATTATCTTCATCTTTACTATTCATGATTTCAATAAATGCTATTTATCTTTTATCTAATTCTTTGAATAAATATGTATAAAGTTTAATAGGATCTTCATCAAACATATCATTATATCTACCTAATGGACTTACCTTTAATCCTACTCTTCCTTTACCAAATACTTAAATTAATTCATCAATAACTTCTAAACAAAATCTAGATCTATTTTCTACTGATCCACCATATAAATCATTTCTTTTATTTGAATGACTTCTTAAAAATTAATCTACTAAATAGCCATTTGCACCATGTAATTCTATTGCATCAAATCCAGCCTTCTTTGCTCTATAAGCACCTTCTTTGAATTATTATATCACTAATTTGATATCTTCTATTGTCATTTCATGAGGTACTTCATGGGGTTATTTCACAGCATAATTTACTCCATTAATAGCAATAGGAGATGGTGCCCAAGGAATTTAACCACCCTATAAATTTGAATGAGTTGCTCTTCCACTATGCCAAATTTATAAAGCAATTCTTCCATTCTTTTTATGAACTGCATCGATAACTTTTTTCCAACCTTCAACTTATTCTTCATTTAATATGCCTGCACATCCTGGAAAGGCATTAGATCTTTGACTTACTAATGTACATTCTGTTAAAATTAATCCAGCAGAAGCCCTTTATGAATAATAATCTGCCACTATATTATTTGGAACCTTTGTTTCATTATCACACCTCATTCTAGTCATTGCAGCCATAATAATTCTGTTAGGAATAGTCAATTCACCTAATTTTAAGGACTTGAATAGAATTGATGTGTTATTCATAAAATTAATATTTTCTAAAGGATTCTTTTTTCTGAATAAATAGCTATTTTTTCGGAATTCAGAAATCATAAAATTTTATTTTATACTAATTCAGTAAAAACAATAATCATTATTTTATAATAAATCTAATATCAGTTGTATTTCTTTTAGACATAATATTCCTTCATGATTTACTTTAATTCTTTATCATTAGGTAATTAAAATATAATTATATCTGGAATTCGAGTTAATTTTTCATCAGATTATATATTTTATTTATATGATTAAGACCATTATAATTTCCTATTTTGAATATATTACTCTATTAATTTGGACATTAATGGTTTATCTATTTGTATCACTTTAACTTAAGATGTAGCAAATAATTGAGGCCCATTATTTTGACTAAAATAATTTTTAATTAATCTCCAAAATCTATCCTTAAAAGCCCGTTTCTAAAACTTTTTAGCTTTAAATACTTTAGTAATCATTCTTACTACATTAAAGAAATATTGTACCTTTTGAAACCATTTTATGATGAGCAATTAAAGCAGTTTAAAATATGAGAGTCTTTTTCAAAAAATCAGTCGCAATTTTTTAAGCTCTTTTTTTAGAATTTTCTTATAAATGTTTGCTTATAATCTTTAATAATAATAAAGATTTATTATTGCATCTTTCAAATGGATTTTGTCCAAATTATTAAACTTCTATGAATAACTTTGTTTTTATTCTTAAAACTATTAACTTTGCTTTTGCTTAAATTCTTAGCCTTCTTTTTCTTTCCTAAATTATTTATAATAATTACATATAAAATATTATAAACTTATTTACAAATTTCTATTAATGAAATCATTTATTACCATTATTTGCATTAATATTATTTATCGAATTTTTATTATAAAATACTTTTTTCAACTTTACGAAATTCTTGAATTTATGATTTTACTAACATTTTAATGCTTCTTTCTTCTTATCTCTCTTTTTCAATTTACTTTCCCTTTTAAACTACTGTAATTATCTTTTTTGCACTTACTTCTACATTTTATATTATTTATAATTATACCTGCTCCCTTTAAAAAATCTTTTAGTTTTTAAGTACTTTTATATCGAGATTAATCTAAGTTTTATAGAATCTTATCTTTCTTGGGTGACATACTTTTTTTATCTTCATCCCAATATTTATAATATCTTTAGGGTTCTTATTATTTTGCACTTAAAATTGAATTATGAAATTCTCCAAATACTAAATGCATTGTTATAATAAAATCTGATTCAGCATATAAAGTTATGTAAATATAATCCTCAATAAAAAATTTAGTGCCTGATTTAGTTTTCACTTTAATTGATCTACTAGAAGTAGATTATTCACAATTAAATTTAGTTGGAAATTCAACAGTTGTTGATAAAAATACTTTATAAATTTAATTTTATGTTTTATCAGGGAATGTAAAATACATTTATAAAGGGTTTAGTTTATTCTTCACTCTAGCTCTAAAATAATAAAATCTAAATCTATAAATTTATATTCGATTAAGCTTTTCAGGATTTAAATCGCATAAATGTAAACCATCTGCCACTTTTAAAATATTAGAAGTATTAATTTAAATAATTTCTTATTTACTTGTTTAAGGTGCTTCACATTTGAATTTATTTGATTCTCTAACAACTCTATAATTATCTTCAAAATCATTATAAACATTTATCAGATTATCATTTAAAGGCAATAATCTCGAAATATCATCCATACTTCCATGAGTCTATTTTTAAGTTATCTTTTTCATTAATTTTGTAGTACCATTTTCTTCAGTCTGTTTATCTAATGAAAGAATTGATGACTATCTTTTAATACTGTTAATTCTATAAATATTGAATAATTCTTTACATAGTCATTGATTAATTCATTAAAGATGTTTAAGATTGAGTTAGTTTAGAAGAACTTCTTTAAAGTAATCTATTTTTTATCATTAATTATATATATAATCAGAGTAATTTTTTAATCTTACCATATTTTTCAATTATTTACATCAATTCCTTTCTTTTAGGAACTTCATATAATTAAGGTTCTTTCAAATTAATTGCAAAATCTTTCATTTTCTAATTATTTTATAAAAATGATACTTTATGGAAATCTTTTTCAAAGAATTTATTATTAATATATTCATACCAAATCTACTTTTTTTATTTTTAATATTCATCAATCAACTAATTTATGCAAAAACTAAAAATAATTATATTATATTACATATCTATTTACTATACAGGTTTATCGTTTAGATCATAAAATGTTTTTTTACCTTATTATCTTTAGAGTTCATCAATAATTTAATTAATATTATCTTTTATTAATTTAAAGAATTTATCTCTAAAAGTTAATTTCTTTTGTTTTAAATTTCTAAAATTCCTTTAAATCTAAATTACTATAAAATAATAAATTTATAATACTTTTTTTTAAAGTTTTATCATGTTAATGAACTATAGTGACTGCTAATCTCATTTAAATAAGATATTTAGTCAAAATTATTTGAGATTTTAGTTTAATCTTTTTTCTTAAATTGACAGCTATAATTTACAAAGCAATACAAGATTTTGTTATTGTTCTTTCCTTAGTTGAATAACCATAATCCTTTGCAGAAATTAATGCTTTAGTTTTAAGAGTCCATACCAATAATTTACCTCTTGCTTATATTTTAGATTTTCTTTTATTATCCTAAATAATTTAAATAAATTTTCTAATACTTTTATCATATTATATAATGTATCAATAAAAAGGATATATTTTATTAATCTTCCCCAACTTAATGATACTTTATATGCATAAGCTTTTCTAATACTAAAAGAACGTTCTATTTCTCTAAATTAAGACATTTATTATTATAATAATAATCTATCTCTAATATATTATTATCTTTCAGTATAATTATTTTTTTTATTTTGCTAAACTAATTCAATTTTTTGTTTTTTAATTTTAGAATGTTATTCTATTAATAATTTTCTTTTTTCTAATTCATACATAAATGTTTTTTATTTATTTTAATAATCTTATTCTAATTCTTTTCTTTTTTAGATTTAGTGTTCTTCAATCTTTTTTAATCTTTCCTCTTTTGTCATACCTTAAAATTCTTTTCCTATTAATGTTAATAATGTGCTTAATTTAGATTAAACTGGTTATATTTTAATAAATTTTCTTTTATCCGAATTTTCAGTCTATACTCTACTACATTCTGTTTCTTTTTCTATAGATGATTAATAGATATTAGATTTTATTTAAGAATAACCTTTCTTCTCTCTTCTTCTATCAGGAGTATGTATAAATTTAGCATTTTCACTATTAACCATTTTTAATTTAGGTGATCTAGATTAATTTTGGCGAGATGGGGTTTTTTCAGTATTCAATTATCCAAAATGTACTTATATCTTTAATATAAAATCAACATGAGAATAAAATGTTAAATAAAGGAATTCTTCTTTAAAATAATGAGCATGTGGATTACTTGAATAGACTTTTGCATAATTACTTTAGATTATTTAATCTGCATTAAATTTAGTTGGAAATTCAATTTTTACAGAAAGCATCAATTTAAATAATAAAAATGATAATGATTCTGGTAATTGTAAGTGAATATGAATTGGTGTATGTTTATCTAAAATTCTTAACCTGAAATAATAAAATTAGTATCTATCAATTTATATTTGATTAACTCCATTTTATTATAAGTCTGATAACTTTAAACCATCAAATGTCTTGATTAGTTAATCATTTTATTTTTTGAATTCCACTGATAAATTTTCTTAAACTGTTTTAATTCTGTCAAGTGATCCAAGTCCTTAATAATTTTGTTCATATTAATTATACAATTCTAAGATTGCTCCTTCTACTTTTAAAAAAAGGTTGTTATCTGACTTATGAATATTCATATTTTAAGCTTTAATTTTTTCAAATAATGTATTCACTCTGGACTTACTGTCTTACTATTCTGAGACAGAAACTTAACTTCGATTGCTTTTTAAGAATTCCTTATTGGGTGTCTTTAATTTTTAGCTACAGTAAAATCTTTGATTCTACATTGTGCTTATAATAGCACTTTGGGAACTTGACTTTCTCATTTAATCTGAGTTTATCATATTTTATATATCATCATATTCTCAAATCATTTTTTTATTTTTTGCATAAAGTTCAATTATATCAGCTACTTCATTAATTTGTGGAAGTTGGAACAATTTAGGTTCTTAAAACTTAATCAAGGCTTTTCTAATCTCATCACTTTTTCTATCATTTAAATAAAGAGTCAATTATTTATCATGAATCTTTTGACGTATAAATGCTAACCATATCTATTTTTGTCTATGATAATAATTATCAATCTAGAATTGCATTATTTAATTATCTATTTGAAATGCATACATTTATTTTTAACATCTATTTCTTGTTTTTTGATTATTTTATGTTAAACTCTTCATAATTTCTTTGTAATTTCTATTTATTAATTACCAGAATTCTTCATAATATTTTTTTTTTTATCTTTAAAAGAATCTGAATTTATTCTATAAAATTATTACTAAATTAATAAATTTATATTATTACCATAATGTCTAGTCTTAAGTAATCTATGTCCTAAATGTATAATTGAAATACATTCTTTAATAAAAGAAGTAGCAATTGTTTCAGCTTTTCTTTTTCTTAAAAATCGAATCTAAGCAGTAAACATTTGTATTGCTAATAAACTTTTACAAAATGATCTTCTTTCTGGTGTTGGTCCAAATTTTCTAATATAAATCAATAAATTTAATCCACATTTTAATGCCTTCATTCTTCCATTTGCTTTAATACTTATTCTACCTTTAAATTCCTAAATATTATGAAAATTCTAATACTATCAATTTAATTTTAAGCTAAGCAATAAATTTAATTAAATTTACAAGTTAAGCCCAAAATAATTCTCCTTATATCTTTTTATTTAGTTTTAATTTATAAATCTTTTCAAATAATCTATAATCATTTCTTAACATTTATGCACTATATTATGTTTTTAACTTTATCTTTTATTCACAAACAATTTCCTATTTTTTTTAAAGTACTTATTTTCTTTTCTATTCTCTTTCACTCTATTAAATATATATATATATAATATTTACAAGTAATCCAGCTAATAGATCTGTTCTTTTTGTCAATTAAAATTAACTTGTATCAAGATTCCTTTTTATTAAATCAATTTTTATATTTGTTATTAAACCAGGAAATTTTGGATATTCTTTCTTTATTATTTCTTTTTTAAGTGATTTATTTTATTAAACTCGACCAAATATTATTTTTATTTTTACTATTACATCAATTTCAGTATAAAAAGTTATATAAAGATAGTTTTCTTGAAATATATTTTCATGACCACTAGTATAGATTTTACAAAAATTTGAAGTGAGATTATGTTCTGCATTAAATTTAGTAGGAAATTCATGTTAAGTAGAAAGATATAATTTATATTATGCAGAATTTATTTGATTTTCAAATTAAATTGTTAGTAATAGAGGAGATTATTATTTCGATATAGAAGCTCGAAAATAATAAAATTTAAAGCGATTTATATGTAATCTCTAATTCAACTCTTAATCAATATCACAAAACTATAAATTTGCAATTTTTGTTTCAGCTTAAGAAGGATTCTTTATTGAATTCTGAGATGTAATATAATTCTATTAAGTTTAATCATCTGACTTTAAATCAATTGAGATATTGAGATCAGTTTTAATTTTCTAAACAATTTTGTAATTATTCTCAAATTCATCATAGAGCTCCATGAAAGAAGGAGGTATAGTTTAAATCTGATTATGTTCCTTTTTAAATCGTTTAATCTCATTTTGAGTTGGTGTTTAATTTAATACTTAACTTGAATGGATATATGAAATTGATTATAGACTGCTTGTTGTAAAGAAGCTTAAAATACATTTACAGGCTACTTTAATTTTCTTTATGAATTAAGATAATATGTATTGCTATTTGGTGTTGATGTTGCTTGTCTTTGCTTTGGACTCTTGAATACTGTTTGCTAGGACATTGTAAAATAATAAAATAAGTTAATTCATATTAAGTTTTTAATCAAAGCATACTATTCAATTATTTATGATAATTCATATATTGATGAATCTCAAAACAGATTAGATTGTTTAATCTAAAATATAATTAATCTTAATTTCTAGAATTAGGATGAAACTTATAAAGAATTATATTGAATATTGTTTTATTCATTTTTATTAAATATTTTTAATTTCATTGTTATATTTAGAGAAGGTATTCATCTCCTAATTGTATCATAATATTTCTATATTTAATATTTTTGAATGATTATGTATCAATCAAATAAATTGATAGATAGGAAAGTTTTTTTTAACTCATTTTATATTTATTTTACATTTAGCTTAAAATTTATTAATAAACTTAATTAATATTCTTTCAAAAAATATCAAAAAGGATCTTTTTTTAAATTATTAACAATTTAAATTTGTCTTAGATCTTAAAACTTATTATATTAATACTGCTTATAACACTGAAGTTGTATAAGAATTTTTTTATTCTTTTTAAATGTATTTTGTAATAGTTTAAAAATCTAAAATAAATTAGTCTAAGGCTTCTCTCTTGAATTTTACTTCTTTCTTATCGATTATCTACAATAAATAATTTTCTTAAATAATAAGATATTTTATTTCACAAAGATATTGATACAAAGTATCTGACAATTATACAATCTAAACTATTTTAAACCAGTTGATTAAAGCATAAAATTTAATTTTAGCATTTTGCCTAAAGATTCTCTCATAAACTTTATATTCTATTTTTATAATTTATATTGCTTAAATTATTTATAACTTTGAAAATTAAAATTCTCAAGATCCTACTCTTTTATATAAATATTATATTATTTTAAACTAAATTGAATATTATATATACTAGTAAAACAAAAAAACCTGAATTTTTATTTTTTTAATTTAGATTACATTCTAATTTTCTCTTGATTCCTAAAGCTGCATTTTCTACTCTAATTTTATATCAAGTAATTATGCATTTCTTGTGGTAATTAACTTTTTTGTGAATTTTTTGTCTCTTTAAAGTTGATTTCTAATTTAAATTTTGAGATATTTTAGATGGTTTTTCAAATTGTTACTTGGTTTTACAAAAACTATACAAATTTTACTACCATCTAATTACATATTACAACATATATTAATAGTCTCAAAACTGTAGAGACACTATCAAATTCCCAAAAAAAAATAACATGTAATTAATTGCCAGTTAATTTTGATTAAAAATATTAATCTGCATCAAAAAATAAAGGGAATTCTGCCTTTGTAACTTTTTACATAACATTAGCACTATAATAAGGGAGGAGGTTTAATTTTAATTTAAGCTGATAATAGTAAAAATTGAAACTCACAATTACTAATAATTTATCAATTCATAAAACAACCCTCTTGAATCAAATTATCAAGCATTATTTATTATTAAATTATTATATAGAATTGCATCTAGATGGCCATTTTAAAAAAACAATTTAAAGCAATTCATGTCTCAAATAATTTCTAGTTTCTTTGAATATTCATCATAAAATTCCAGAATCTCTTTATTTAATTATTAAAGAGGAATCTAAATTTTAATTAATTGCTTAGACTTAAAGAATTAAAGTAAATCATTATTATTATCATTAATTATAGAATTTATAGAAAGCCTCCTAGTTTTTTTTCATCCATATAATAATATATATAAATTTAATTTCATATCTATAAATTTTAATAGTGAGTTAAATTAAGGAAAACACTTAAATCACTACCCCATCTAACTGATTTTTGACTTTTATTAGAGCTGCCTATCTTAGAATTGATAGATTTGAGAGAAGATTTAATTGGTTATTTTGTAATTGATATAGTGTCTGGATCAGGTTTGTGAGAAGGTGTTCGACTCTTTACTATCTACCTTTAAGTTTTATCATTAACAAAACTCAAAGTTCTTTTACTTGGTTTAATTTAAGGGAAGAATTAATCTGGTTCAATTATATCTAAATTAAGGAGAGGAAGATGAGTTAGTTGTGGTGATGAATATGATTTATCATGAACCTCAGCTTTTTCCTTCTTATAAATCTCCTTAAATATAACTCTATCACTTGTTTGCATTATTATTTGAGGCATTGTAGATTCATCACTAATTTCTGTAGTTAAATTAACTTATGTCGCTTAACATGCATTTCCCATTTAATAAATTTATTTAATACATAGTTTTATTATCGTTTTTAATTATACTTTAATGAGAAGAATTATATATATTTAATTTGTTTTTTTATTAATTTTTAAGCTTATTTATCAAATCTAGCACTCATTTATATCTCAAAGATATGTTAAATATATATTAAAAAACCTTAATATCTTTCAACAATAATTTATTATCAAATCTAATAAGTAATTTTAAACTAATAATTATAATATATAAATGATTGGACTAATAATTCATATTTTAAGTAAATGCAATTGATATTATAACTTATTTATATAAAATGGAATGAGCCAGCGAATCAAATATTTAGATCACTGAATAATTATTCTAATCAAGTATATCCTAATTGTTAAAAATAACAAAAATTCAATCTAACAATGTAGCAATATAAGAAAATATTATAATTATTATTAATTATAATATTTGCAAAATTTAATTTGATTATTAAATAATCAAAATTATATTATTTAAAAGAAATATTATAAGAAAAATCTAAGGCTGTTGAGATTTGTCTAAGGTTTTGGAATGATAGAAACTCTAAGTTGGTTTTATTTTATAATCATATTATTATTCATATTTTATTTATTTTTAGTTTCTATGATTAAGCAAAATTCTTTTTTAATAAAGATTCTAAAAATTTTACTGATTTCTATTCAACAGGTATCTTTTTTGTCTATTATATTGAAATATCTTAGACTGTTTCTGAATTTGCAATTGATTTTTATACTTCACTATATTATTTTTAAATATCTTGGTTTTTGTCTATAAGAGCAACTTATTCTTTAGGTTATTCTCCATTTAGATATCTTTTCAAATTATTTCTCAACTTTTCTTCATCATCTGATGATAGATTATATTTTAAATATTT